AAAAAAAGACCCTTTCCTCCCCCTCAATTAAAGTGAAGTGCCCGACTCACGACTCACGCCCTGGCTTCGCCACAGTCACACCTTCCACACTGTCAGCCGCCTGGCACTGCGGGATTGCCTGGAAGAGGGGTTTTCAGCAGCAGTGTTCTCCAATTACACGTGTTTCCATTAACAAAAGAAATATCTTTGTGGGTTTTGTAGGTACTTGCAGGAGTCTATTCTAGCTCCCTAGTAGCCAGAAGCATCTGATCTGTCTGCCTCACAGCCCTCCGACTGTTAAGCATTTGCTTTTAGGCAAATAAAATGTCAGCCACCATTAAACAGCATATGGCAACAATATGGCCATTCTCTCTGGGGACCAGCCTCTCCCCAGAAGAGATGGTACTTGAAATAGTAGATGCTTTTGAATGCAGGACCCTTCTCCCTCCCACCCAGGCATGGTGGCTGGGGAGTGGGCAGAGCGCCACACACAAAAGGACTCGGGCAACCATATCAAATGTGAACAGAAGGGGCAAGCTGCCCAGCCAGCAGTGACCAAAGGCTGTTTGCCGTGGGCATCTGGGGCTGTGGTTAAGGGAAAGTACCGTCCCGAAACTGGTCAGGATTAGCTCTCTAAAATAGAAAACAGCCCCCACAGCCACGGGAAGAGGGGTGGGGGCCGGCTGCAGTTGAATGCGGTGGGGCTGCCTCGAGCAGAGGGAGCCCTTGAAAGCGGAGTCTCCACCCATCTCATCTCCGAATTCACCCTGTGAATGGGGTGAATGGGGTGAAAACTGCCTTTTCTTGAAATAGAAGAGGAGCACGTGGAACCCGTCTAGTGGGTCAGCTCGTGTGCAAGTGGACGTGTGGACGGGAACCTGTCAACAGAGATGCCCCTATGCTCCGAACAGAGTCCCCAGACCTTGCTTGTCCTGATAGGCTAGAACTTAGAATATGCAGATAATCGAAGTGCGAAGTACGGTGCTAGTCCTTTTGGGAACGCTGGCTCCTCGTGTGGTGTTGTCCCTGTGTGACTGGTGTTGGAGTAGAGCTGCTCAGACTCACTGGTTTTACATCAGGCTTTTACTGTACGAGTTCATCATATTTCTGTGAACTTCTGTGCCAGCTCTGTGAACTCACTAGCCTCGGGAAAACATCTACCTGTAGTGCCAGAAAAATTTACACTGATTAGACATTAACACTGTCCAGAAATTCTCATCAGCTATCTCATTATTCTTCCACTCGTGTAAATGACTCGATTGGAAGGTTTTGAGGCCATACCTTATTTCTCAAACTCAATCTAAGGTTCTGACATTTTAAAGAAGAAAATGAAATAAGGAAAAATTTAAAACTCCAGAAATATCTCTAGAGGTCTATATTGTTAAGGAACTAAGAATGACAAGGTAGGGAAGCTTCTTGTTTCCAGTTAACTTTGCTTGTCTAAATTGTATTAATCATATAATTTAATAATGCTTTATTATGACCCCGAATAACTGAATTGGCTACAAAATTTTAAATGCCTAGGAAAATGATGAAGTTTTCAAAATAACATTAATATTATTAATAATGTTTTTTCATAGACTATGTCTTCAGAAAATATACTGTGCAAATGAGAACAAGAAACTCTGCATATTTTAGTAGCGTCAATCAGTTTTTCTGGAATGTTCTTTTTATACTTTACCAAATCCTTATAACTGACAGGGTGATGTCCTCCTTTGCTCCTTATGCTAACAGTCAATAAATTCCAAGACAATTGGCAACAACTAGGTCAGTAGCTGTATGAGCCATAAGAGGGATTCCTCTAAGACTTTCCTCCTAGGGGCTGATGCCAACTTTCCAAATTAGAAGAACTTTCTCCGTTAATTGGGGGACTGTTCCCATGTGACCAAGGGAACCTAAACATTTGGATGAAAAGTAAAAACTTCAGTCAATCAACCAGATGTTTGCCACCATTACGTCAAACCTCAGGGTACTTAAAAACATCTCAAGAAATGACTACGTTTTAAACTTTACATCTAGGTAATTGAGATCCTCCTGCCTTCGTGTGTCCATATGAATGACAGCATGTCAAATGAGGCCCACCCTGGAGATGTCTTGAGCCTTTCTATTCTAGAATACATATGACACTTAATGTACGAAGCTTAAAATATAAGTGAAATTGATACTCACATAACTACTCCTCCATTGCTAATCTTCCAAATAGAAAATAAAAATAAGGGGCACCTGGGTGGCTCAGTGGGTTAAGCCTCTGCCTTTAGCTCAGGTCATGATCTCAGGATCCTGGGATCGAGCCCCGAATTGGGCTCTCTGCTCAGCCGGCTGCCTGCTTCCTCCTCTTTCTCTCTGCCTGCCTCTCTGCCTACTTGTGATCTCTCTCTGTCAAATAAATAAATAAAATCTTTAAAAACAAAAAAAGAAAAGAAAAGAAAAATAAGTGTGTCTGCTCTTTGTCCTCATGTTTTGGTTTGCAGCAGAACAAGTAGACTTTGGTGGTAGAACTCTGGGCTCTAAGATACCGTGACTCTTTTTTAGCATGAACTTGACTTTTTATCAAATGCAAATAGAACTCTGAATTCTCGATTGCACATATTTGTCACACTTAAAGCTCTTTGAAATGGTTTCATTAGTACTTGGTGGGCACTATGTGTTTGATGAATAAGTGAATAATGAACAAATAATGAAAAAGTAGGAATCAGACAGCGTTCTCCCTTGGTGGAATTGGATTCTAGGTGATTGACAGCTATGTGTTTCAGTTTCGTAGAAATAACTCCACTGTTTATTTTTCTCTAGTCTCTTAACAAACTGTGCAAGGTTTGGAGTGGCATTTGCTGAGATTTAACTAAAACACAGAAGCAATCAAGTGGTTGAATTCTGGATTTTTCAAATTTAATGACATTCCTTTATCCATATTGATTGGAGCTTTGGTAAATTCAATTGTTGGTACCACCTGGGTAATTTTAAGTCTCTCTGAAGCTTTAAAGAAAATGTTTCCCACATAGCTCAAGCAACATAAGAATTTCATCAGTTGAAAACTAAGAATCGCTTCTGTGGGATGTGTAAAACAAGAAGCTGACCAGCATTATTTTCTTTTTCTTTAATTCAGTATCATTATTGAGAGTTATTCTTGAACTTTATGAAAACCAGATTGGGGCCCAAGCATGTTCTCCATCTAATCGTGTTCAAGGAATTGGAACTGAAAATCATTCAAACTAGGAAAACAGGACATTGAAAAAAGAGCCTGCATTCTTTCTTCTACCTCAGCGTGTCTGAGGCTCTTTCTGACAAGGAATACTTGGGCTAAGAGTAGATCCGATCTTTTTAGAAGTGGACGTTTAGCTTCCTAGTCAGGAAGAGATAATAATTTTTTTTTCAGTCACGTTTTTACTTTGTGGCCTATCACTGACAACCTTTGATCCTCTCACGTTTTTCCTCAGAAAGCTGTGATTAATCACTATCGCCCACTGGAAAAAATCCAGATAGCGCCTGCCATTCAAGGCTCTCTTTTGTCTGGCCCAGGTGACTTTCCCCTCTAGCCACATTCCCTACGACCCGCCTCTTCCTTGCAAGCTCCTTCCCATCAAAACCAGACCGCTGGTTTGGGCTGTTCAACCTATTACCCCATCTCTCAGGAACGCCTATTTTCTTCTCCTCTCCACTTGCTGGGTGTTCCGTAGCTACTTCAAGGCGTGAAACATTCCATTCACAAGGTCTTGCTAACCATCCACCCTTTCCGCTCTCCCCTTTGCTCCCCTTCCCTAGCTAAACCTAATCTTACCCACCACCCCCGTCACACACACGTACACGCGCACGTGCTACTGTGATGATTTAGTCATGGAGGGCATCACCCTCAAGACTGCTCTTTGTGTGTTCAAATGCACAAGGATGTCAAGCAAGGGACAAGTGAAGACAGCCACCCACCTTACTCTCCACTCACCCAGGCATGTGACCCCCACGTGACTATGTCTATGCAGAGAGGCGTCTTTCTCTATTTCTTAGGAAGGCCTAGACTAGCAGCATATGCAGCTCTGGTCACCAGCATGGGAGCATTTTAGTTTCCTTTATCACGGCACAAGTTTGTTGAGCACAGTGACTCCCTTTATATTCCCATCACGCCTGGCACAATGCTTTTCTCATATGTAAGGTTATTGAAAGGATGAAATGTATTTATTTTTTTTTTAAATTGCTTCCACATACAAACACAAACATGGAAGCACTGTGAGAATCAAAATGGACTTTTTTGCAACTGTGGAATGGCCAACTTATCGGATTTTAAGTGTATCATGGTTCTAAGTAATTTCCTCTAAAACATAGTGCCCAGTAGTCTTTTGCGGAATTTCAGAAACCACATTCATGACGCTATGACAGACCCTGGTAGAGTTGGACTGAAATCCACTTCTGACTGTTTGTTAAAATAGGCAAAGAATAACATTAAGAATTGTCTGAAGTGGGTAGGATCAAGGTCAGGAGAATGCCCATGGGAGGTGAGGGAATTTGGGGAGGAACCAGTTGGAGCAGTCTGAGGTCAGTATACTTCCTAGAAGTCTACATTAAGATGAAAACACAAAACCTAAAAAAGCACCACGTCTTAAGGTCCTTGAAACTTTGCCAACACTGTATATAGTACAGCTCGATGTGGCCATGCCCTCAAAGTAAAGAATTGCTTTGTAAAGACTTTTTGTGGAGAATTAATATTACTTCTGATGCAGTTGTGTTGATAAAATGGGAAATGTCCACAAACCAAACTTTAGATACCACAAGACAATGATGCACACAAGATAGGTTTTATGCCTATTTGAAGACATGGTCAGGATGTCAATTTTCAAGTTTGGTAACCATTGACCAACACCTCAAGGGAAGAGTCTGTGTCCAGGCACAAAATATTCTACTAACTATGCATTTAACAATTGCTTTATGTTTTCCAGGATGTGTTGAGTTGATGTGATGAGCTGTTTTCTCTTCAGGAAGAAACAAGCCTTCTCCACCCATTTCACGGTACATGTTTCTCCCCTTTCTCCTCCCAGTCCTCTGTGATGTCCGTGTGCTTCGCTCGTTTCCATCCCAACTTGGTGGTTGGTGGGACTTACTCGGGCCAGATTGTCCTGTGGGATAATCGCAGTCATCGAAGGACACCAGTGCAGAGGACACCTTTGTCAGCTGCTGCACACACGGTAAGTCCGATTTTGTCATTTCCCTGTCAGCCACCCCAAGCCCTGAAAGGGGATAACTGACAGAAGTACGCCTGTGGTCAATAACTCCAAGTTAGAAGCGTGTAATTTGTAATGAGTGTATCCTGACTGACCGAAATAAAGCCAAGTGAAAAGGAGGCGAAGGAAGCACTGGGTGTAGAGAAATCTCTTAATTATCTACAAGTTTTAGCACAGAGAAGGGATCTCTCTGGATGCACCAAAGACCATTGGTGTGGTGGGGATGGATTAAAACTACAAAAGGACACAGGGAGAAACTTTGGAAGAGGCAGCTGTGAAATTGTTGTGAAGAAACTTTTTGCACTGACATTGTAATGTGGAAACTCGTATTTTCAAATGGGCCATGAAGAGTAAGCATTTCATGTCTAGGGATGGTATATGGGACTTTTGCCAACAGTCCTTTTCCATTTGTGATTTGAGGGAGTGCTATGACTTTAAATTCTGGAATGCATGGTTGTAAGTCTCAACAGTAAAGTCTACAGTGACAATATAATCCCACGGGTTAAAAGTCAACATCTCAAAACCATTACCCACAATTTAGCAGAAGAGGTTCAGTATAGTGTTCATAAGACAACTACTCTGTCATTTCCTTTAAGAGAATGACAGGTGTGTTTAGCAGTTGTTAGGAGGAATGAGAAGACAGGCATGTCTCCATCAATCCTTGCTACCTTGACATTCAGAGTAACTGATGTTCTTTCTCTGAAGTGCCCAAATTATGCCCAAAGATACAGCTCTACTATTGTTTCAATTTCCTTAATGTGGTTGCCTCATTTGTTCCATCTGCTGGCCTCAAAACCATTCTAGCTTTAAAAAAGGACTGCTAGCTGCTTCAGCTAAGACCATGAAGAGGAAAATTCTTCCACCCTTGTAAGATTGACAATGGGAAATGACAAATACCAAGTCAGCCTTAATTCTGATTGACTTGGGCCTAAGACACATGCAGGTGAAACTAGTTCTTGAGAATCTTGGAAAATTGCTCTTGCCTACCCCATTTCTGCAAACTAATAACAGAAAATTGTGACCCAGGAGAAGATGGCTTGATGCAGGTGTTTGCTCAAGTCCTGTGAAAGCACTTCTTGGCTAGATATGGATATCTGGTGGGTTTCCGAGCATATCTTGCGAAATTTCAAAAATTATAAATCCAAACGTTAGAGCAATAAGTTTCAGGAAGAAATCCATATCCAAGAGCTCTTCCAAAGAGTCAAGCTTTCTTTGTCAAGTAACTTAGGATACAAGCATCACAACTAAAATACCATTATTATCAAACAGTAACCTGTTTCTGTTTGAAAATAAAATACTTTTTCCCCCTCTTTTGCTGCGTTTTGTTGAGTCCATAGCTAAAAGGGCACAGTTAATTTTGTGACTCCCTTTCAACTTCCACTAATGCCTGGCTGATTGGTACCAGGATCAAAAGTGGTTAAGAAAAAAGAGGCCTGCCACAGATTACTAATTTCCTTTCACACCCACCACACATATGCATTTGGGACAACAGGAAATCCTAATTAAAGCAAAAAACCCTTCTGCCACACAGTAAGTTTATTCCTTAAATAAATAAAAACAATCTGGCATGTATACTGGAAAAATGAGCTGTAGCTTTGCTTTTTTCTTTCCATTAAGTAGAGTTGTGGATGCCTGTGTGTGTGTGTGTGTGTGTGTGTGTGTGTGTAGGCTTTCCCACGTGTCTGCTTCTGTTCTGGTTTCTTTACATCTCTCTCTTTTCTTTTAAGCCGAGTTTTATTACTCATGAAAGCACAGGCCAGTAGTACTGATTAAAGGCAGGGAGGGGCTACCACGCACATTCTTTCTCTAGGCAGTTGGCTCTACACATTCTTCTAGACGCTTTCCTTCCCCTCCTGTAGCCACCCTTAGGAGTCCCAATCCACTAGAATTTTGGTGCTCTGTGTTGATGCCTGGTGGTTAACAAAGAAACCCCATTGGACTCTTGCTAAAACTCACTAGGTGGATTGTAGGTTCACAACAGCATTTGGGCCGTGCCTTCCCATGCTTCGGTGAGACTGTCTGCTGCTTTTAGGTGAGAATTTGTTTCATCCATTCTCCCACTTGATTTCCACACAGAGCTTTGAATGAATGTGACTGGGGCTTTGAGTTTCATTGCTCACTGCTACACCTTCCACACATGCCAGAGGCTTGGGAAAAACCACTGTGCACAGTCCCACAACTGGTCAGTCCTCTTGAAACTTAGAGACCTGATCAGGAAAGCAGTGAGTTTCAGATCCTTGTTGTACTCACCACTGGCCACAGCCTCCAAGGGCGATTGAAAGTTTCTGTAGGAACGTGCCATGAACAAGACTTAGGGATTCAGTTGGCCGTCCATCAGCACAGGTAAAAGAGGTGATGCTATTGCCAATAAATCCAATGGCATCTTAGCATACGTCAGTACAGGCAGACTTTTGATCACGCAAGAAGTGAAAATTCAACATTTCCTAGATTTCTATATTCTATTGATCAGAATATAGGTCAACAGTGGTGTTTCATTCTCAGAACTTGGCTGTAAGAGGAGCTCAGACAAAACGTGACATACTCAAAAGGGAATGACCAGTATCAGGAGGGTATTGAAAGCCCGAAAGCCGAGTACTCGAGACCCATTGAAGAAATTGGTGAGGATTAGTCTGAGGAAGACAAGACTGGGGGAGAGAGGTATATGACAGCAACCTATAAATATTGTTTGGACTTGACGCATATGGTCCCAGAGGGCACTGTACTAAATACAAGCCTCTCCTCGAGCTTTCTTTATCCCCAGTGGTGGAAGGAAGAACTCCCCAGGCATCGGCGCAAAAACTGACTACCCTTAAGAAAGGTGTTTCTGCGGAGTTTGGACCACCTCTTGGTGGAGTCAGATGAGTGGCTGCCCTAGATGATGATTACGGTTCCCTCTGACCAGGAGTTTATACGATAATAATAGTTTGGGAACCATCCTTTATATAATATCAACTTTCCAATATTAAAGATTGTTTCATTGTCATTGTGGCTAGGTACTACGGACAGTAACTCATCAAGAGTAAGACTTCGACTGTCAGCTATTTGCACAGAGAGGCCCCAGCTAAGCTGTGGCTTGGCTCAGGATGGCTAAGCTGCCTGAAATCTGACCCACAGGACTGCTAGGTTCTGCTTCTGCTAACCTTCCATTTAGCATTTAATGTGCAGCTGCAAATGATTTTAGCTTACCATTTAGGATTCTACAGAGTAGGGTAACCTCCTAGAGCTATGACGGGAGGTTGGAGCATCTTGCTTACGATTCCCGGGATGTATCAATAACCTTCCTCAAGGCCCCGGCCAAATCGAAGCTTCCGTCATAGCCCAACTGATGTTTTGAAAAATAAATCTATCATTATCCTAGATTTTGATCAACAGAAATGAGCCTAATTTTCTCTCTTGAGGTGCATGATGCCAGTAAGCCCTACTACCCATATCTCTCCCTCAAATTAAAGAGGCTGATGAGTTTTAACCACTTTTTTTACAAAGAAATGTGAACGAATGTTTGGCCCTGTGACTGTAATGCAGCACCCTCCAAATTTAGTGACACATACTTGTTCCAAAAGTCAGTAGTTGTACTCTTTTGAAAGCTGCCTTTTTTCATCACTCACGGTGAGCTTAGCAGCCGAGCTGTGTGCGGCTTTGTCCCCATCAATCATCGTTTGTGGCAGCTTCCCTCAGCTCCGGCGGACTACCTCTGACGGAGCAAGGTGAAGCTGGGTAAGTGTTTCCACTACTAGGCGTTGCTGCCAGAGCTTTTAGAAAGCAATCAGGTTCGAATCAAAAGTGGCAAATGACCTGAGGCTTGTGTTACTGTAGGATTATGTCAGTCTTTAATCCTCATTTTAGAGTAATGCGTTTGACACGCCAATGGAAGCATTTCCTCCTGGATCGTGGTCTGATTCCCCCCGTGTTTACGTTTTCGCAGCATCCCGTGTACTGTGTAAATGTTGTGGGGACCCAGAATGCTCATAACCTCATCACCGTCTCTACTGATGGCAAAATGTGCTCCTGGAGCCTGGACATGCTCTCGACGCCGCAGGTGGGTTTGTTTTCCCCTACACAGAGAAGCATCCTGGTTAAAAGAGATACTTGCCTAATGGAACATAGTTCCTAAAAGCCAAACCCTCACATCCTATAGGAGCTAAAACCAATGGATGCACTTGAAAGAGTGGGGCCTGCTTTCAGCAGTCTCCTCCTGAAGCCAAAACCCATTTCCTTTACCGCAAATCATGTAATTATTGTAATACGTTAATCCTTAGGTCAGTTTCAAGTGAAAATGAAATAATCCATTTTAAAGCATAGTAATTATAGAAGTTGCCTGTGGTATGAATCCTACTTACCCTACAGCATGGTTAAGCAAATGCAAAAGAAGTCGGAGCCCCACAGAGCAATCCCCTGTGGGCCCTTGCCCTGGAGGAAAGGTGTCCCCACAAAACAGAAATCCAAGCCCTTGCTTGCATCTGTAGCCTAGACGACCGCCTGCGTGCATGAAGAATCTGTCAAACCATCTGTTTTCTCCTCCGGAATGTTGGTTATGATGGCTCCTGCCATTCTTTGCTCAACAAATGAGAAGTTGAAAATGCAAAAGTTCCAAAATTTCTAAACCACTACTGATTACGCTAACGGAAACCAAACAATGAAGCAAAGGGGAAGAGACCCCTGGGGGGAGGCATCTAATGCGACTTGCAGAGTATGTGTGCATACAGGCTGCGTATGAGCACGCATCAGCACACACGCAGACGCATTCTGTCCGTATTTCTTGGTGGGGAGAAAAGCATTTTATTGCCCTCCAACTAAAAACGCAGGGAGGGGTTTAGTGTTAGAGACCATGACAAAAATGTGAGGTAATGTCAAGAAAATTACAAAGATATGTAGACGATAATTCTCAGTGTTAACATTCTGTTCCATTTCCCGGAATAATGACCCTAGAATGTCTGGCTCGCGATGTTAGAAGACACTAGAATTTCAAGACACGTAAGGAAATGTGAAACCGTAAAGAACCTCCCATAAGTCTCAGAAAATACAGATGTAGAGAATATTAAGACTAAGTAAATTCTTTTTATAATTTTGGGTCGGGGAGGGGGTTGGTGGGGAAGAGCCAATAAGCTCCTAAATATCAAAGTTCAGTTTCTTTGGTCTTTATCATCATACAAGTCGGGAGTTGTGTGTGGCTATTCTATAACTTTGTCTTAAAATTATCAGCAATATGTTGTTTTTAAAAGCATGGAGATTACAAACAGATATAAGCATGAACCCTCTAATTAGGAATTTGTAACTGCCCATTTGGCTGATTAAACATGTATTTGTTTAAGTTAAAACCAATCGTACAGAGGCCACAAGACCCTATTAGTTTTAGTTTTAGTGTGCCCACACACTCTGGTCCTTGTGCAGAGATGTCCAAGGCTGGTAGGCAGACCCGGGAGCATTCAGCAGTCACCCTGGTCCCTCTCTATTCTAAGAAGGTGATCGAGAGACTGTACCTTTCCTGCTGCTGATCTGAGTGATGGAGAAGCCCATGGGATGGTCCGGTTTTCTGTACCACCGTAGGGTCCCCTCACAGATGCATGCACCATGTGTGCCGCTCTCGTGTACTGGTAGCATGTCACACGACCGTATGCGCTGAGCTACCCAGACCCTTAGCACATGCAGCTGATTTCTGGACTTCTCAGCCCAGAGGACCTGGCTTACTGGTTTGCGTGAAAAGACTAACCTCCCTAGCAACTATAACAACACGATCCCCTACCATGATTTTTTTTTTTTTTTCAATTGCTTCAGGTACACAAAGTAGGCTGTTTGATGTAAATAGCCAGAAAATATTTAGGGATGTTAGTTACCCTTAATTACTCTTCCCTGTCATTAAACTTAATTCAGCAGAAGGTCTCTTAAAATACACTTTGATTCCCAATTTTGAGAATAATCTGAGATAAAACACTTCCATTTGCTATTTTAAAGACTTAGCTCAGCCTATACACCCAAAGACTGCTCTTCGCTAAATCACGTCCCCGTTGAAATCTGGTTTTTCTGACTTGAGTGACAACTTTCTGGTTTGCGTCCACGGAGGACATGGAGTGCTTTGACAAATGTGCTTAGTACCTCTAATATTAATACATGTGTATTCTCACGAACAGCTGATTCCGAAAATGTTTGTAAATACAAGGGTATTGTGTGTTTTATTAAAGCCTGGGGCTGACAAGTGTAACCATTACAGTATTATCTTTAGTTTCTGCACCATTAGTTGTGAAATTCTCACCTGTCATCTCTGCCTGACTTAAGAAGCAGCAGCCCACACTGATGAGATCCAGCCGGCCTGAAACCAGAGATACACAGAAGCAGGAATGTCAGGGGCAGTAAAGCGTGGTTTCTGGCACAGCCGGGGTCTTTTGTAACGCTGTGTGAAAAGCAAACAGACGATTGAGCCAAATGATTTTTCCGTGCTATCTTTGGCATGGCGAGGAGTTGACAGAGGGAACGTAACCACGCCGTGTTTTGGTAGGAGAGCATGGAGCTGGTGTACAATAAGTCCAAGCCTGTGGCTGTTACCGGAATGGCTTTCCCGACGGGAGACGTCAATAACTTCGTGGTTGGCAGTGAGGAGGGCACAGTCTACACGGCCTGTCGTCATGGAAGGTGATTTTGTGTTTTCTTACCGATGACGTGTTTCTCACTCCCGAGAGTCTGTTAGCGGATTCTGGATTAGAACCACCTTGCGTTATGAGAAAAGTCTAAGTGAAGACATACAGGTCACACCTCGAGCTCCCATTACTTCAGAGCATCCGTCTGCTCTGATCATTAGCTGTTGTAAGCCTGGGATGGTTCACACTGCCTTGAGGAGAAAAGCCCAAGCTTCTTAGCATAGCATATAAGACCCTTGACTACCTGCTCCTTCCAAGCGTCAGCCTTCAGGCTCCAGCCATGCACCCATGGGGGATAACAATCCCCAAATGTGGCTTACTGCCCCCCACCTCCATGAGTTCCCACCCTGTTTCCTCTCCTCTCTTCTTGGCCTCATTCGTTCCTCCTCAGCCTTCAAGAGCCAGCCCAGAGGTCCTTCCACACGGAAGCCTCTCCTGACTCCCTTGAGCAGAGAAAGCCCTCCCCTCCTTTATGGTTTCATAAATCTGGCCTTCCTTGTTTTCATTTGTGTTTCCAAGGAATACTTACTGAGACCCTACCTGTGCCCAACACCGTGACATCATGAGGATGAGCTAGGGAACAAAACAGACATGGAGGTCATAACCTGGTTGAGGGTGAAAGACAATAAGCTGATAAACACGGGAGTATGTGGCTTGAGATGATGCGTAATACAGAGAAAATTTAAGTCACATAAATTGGATTGGACTGCAGACTGAAAGATAGGCGTGCCATTTTATATATTTGTGTCTATGCTTCTACAGTAGTATTTTTTAAAAGATTTTATTTATTTATTTGACAGAGATCACAAGTAGGCAGAGAGGAGGAAGCAGGCTCCCTGCTGAGCAAAGAGCCCGATGTGGGGCTCGATCCCAGGACCCTGGGATCATGACCTGAGCCGAAGGCAGAGGCTTTAACCCGCTGAGCCACCCAGGTGCCCCTACAATAGTATTAATTACAGTTTATTTCAACTATTCACTCATCTGCCATTTTTCTCGTACTAAATTCTTTCCATTTCGTCATAGATCTTCCTGCTCGGGGCCTGACACATTGTAAGGGGGGAGCTAAAAATCTATAGGGGGTATCCAGAAATAATAATAATAATAACCCAAATAATGATGACCCAGATAAAATAGAGAGATGCCTTGGGGCTCTTCCTCCTAATCAGAGAGGCTAGAATGGTATAAGATACAAGCCACCATGAAGTTTCCAAGTCATAAGAATTCTGCCTTGACTTAGACATTGGTGAATGCCCCTGGAAACCCATCAGGATAACACAGAATCCAATAATTAGAAGTATTGTAAAATTGCATGCAAGACTTAATGAGTGGCCTCACCATCTTTTAAAAGGTTCACTGTGTTCACTTTGGTACTTAATTTTCTTTCAGCTTAGGAATTCTAATTCAATAGATGTTTCATCTCTTGTACTCACCCCAGGCTGTTTAGATTTAATGAGAAATCAGAAGTTGCTCCAAGTTTATTTTATACTCCTGTGTTTTTGTGATTTGTAGAAGTAATAAGCAACTGCAGCCCAATGATGTGATTCTTCCATTCACACAACATGAACTGTGATGTTCCTACTGTCCTACACATAAAAACAAGCAGTATTTCCCCTGCTTACATGATTTAAAGATGAGTAGGAAGAGATGCCTCACAGTTCTATGCCCATAAAACTGGCTAAAATCATGCATTAAAGTTTTATGAAAACATAAGAAGACCCGATAAAGTTGTCTATTCATGCAAACTTTTGCTGCACACCTTGGAGCCCAGGGCACCTCTAGAGCCTGCCAGGCGTGCAGACATTGTATAAACCTGCTTCCTGCCTTCAAGACAGGGATGATGATGAGTAAGGCCAATGCACACGCTTCTGCGGTACGGGTAGAAGGTCATAAGTGACACGAGAGAGGCGCAGAGAATGCAGGGGACCAAATACAGGGCCACAGCATTGTCTACACATTTATTACAACCAACAAGGCACATAGGTTCCATTGGCTTAATCCAGGACCTTAATTATCTGTGAAAGCTACAGAACATGTTCACTGATAACTTTCAGATTTTTTTTTTCTTTTTTCGTTTCTCTAATGTGAATAATGTTTGACATGGTGAACATTTCTGTTCTATGGCTGTTGTCCTTTTCAAGCCCGATCAGAATTTGCAGTGTGGTTCAAAAGAAGGGTATGTAGGGTGAAAACCACAAATCTTTTCACAACGCCCTTGATTTTGCTTCTGACATTGGCCCATTCCTCTGAAATAGAAAACACGGATCTTGATAAAATTGTAAAATAGCAGGAATTTGGCTTCATAGCAATTTTAAATGGGTCATGTAGGGATACGGGGGTGGGGGAGAGAGGGATTTTTATTTTTCACCTAACATACAGAAGGTGAAAATCCACTTCCATAAATTAAATAAGGTCCTCGTTTTGCACCCTATAAACCCTTTCAGGATGCTGTTAAGAGCAAGTGGAGTCTCACCAGGGGCCACTTCAAAGATCAGTTCCTCATGTTCTTTAGAAGAGTTTAAATGGTCACGTGTGGAACTGCTGTTAGCAGTTTCACTGGGCATAATTTTTGAGTGCCTGTTACATGGAGCACACGCTGCAGAGTTTTCTCATGATTTCAAATTTTGCTCAGCACACTGACATTTATTGGTGCTCCAGAAGCCCAGATGTTTTAATAACGTAATTCATTTTACTATCAGTGCCATAATATTTAGATTCCACAAAATCCCTAAGTATTTGTCTCATTTATAGCCTCATACACATGGATTTTTAAAATGCAGCATTTGGGGCATATTTTTTAGTTGGGTTTGGTTGGGCCGCAGACTATCGTGTGATAACAGGGGGCTGGGAATAATCCCAGCTTAGTTGCATAAGCAACGTATGTCCTTGGATAACTTTCACAATGCGTATCACTATTTCTCAGATGTTCTTGTTTTGGGGAGAGACGAAAAGGCCTAAGTTTTGTCTCTTTTCCCATGTGGTTTCTTTCAACAAATATTTATTGAGCATTTACTATAGGCCAAACACTTGGCAACAAGTAAAACCAGGCACCAGCCCTTTTGGAAGTTACATTCAGTAGACTTGAAAACGTCTCTTCTTTCAGTGACTATCTTAATTTCTAAAGATCACATTTAAGTTATGCATAGCATATTGTGGTGGCAAGAGTTTCCACGAAGTATTATCTTTTGAGATATATCAACTTCATTTAAGAAATTTTCTTGAAAAGATAAATGTAGGTGTTCAAGGATGTGAGGATTTTTGTAGCCAATGGGGTTCCCAGAAGGAGTTAAAATGGAATGTGTGCCAATGTATCATAAGGAGAGTATAGTCCTATTGGGTAAAACATGAAAGCTTCTGAGATTGAAGTATGTGTGTTTTCCATTGATGTGCTCCATCAACAATGATAGGATTTGAGGAACTCCTGAGAAAGGATTAAATTTGTCCCGAAAAAGGACACAACTTGGTATTAAATCGCAAAGGTTAAAAAAATTATATTGATCCATATTATTTTTTAATCATCAGAAGTGGCTAGCATTGTATTTCTCTCAAGATAGCTGTGAAAGTGGTTTCATTTTTGGTAGTTTATGGTTGTTCTTCTAAATTACGGAGAAGTGGTCATGCAGAGACAAGTGTGTTGGGTTTTTTTTGTTGTTGTTGTTTTGTTTTTTAAAGCAATTGCTGCTCTGCAAAGGTCACTGAAATTCTGCTCCTGTGTGGTCTTCCTGCAGCAAAGCAGGTATTGGGGAGGTCTTCGAAGGTCATCAGGGACCAGTGACTGGAATTAACTGCCACATGGCTGTGGGCCCCATCGACTTTTCACACCTGTTTGTCACGTCGTCATTTGACTGGACCGTCAAACTGTGGACCACAAAGGTAAGAATGTCTTAAGTTCTCTGGTAATACATAGGCGAAGAGGGCAATTTGACTGTTCACAGCCTGTTGATGAACCCAGTCTGCCTCTTTCTCAGTCCATTTTATTTATTTTTAAATAGATAAGGGATACTTGAAAACATTCTAAATTTTAAAAATTCTAGCAGTTCAAATACAAATAAAATGAAAGTCCTTCTTTACTAACATCCCCTCCTGGCTGCCATCCCCCCCCTCCACTTCTACATTGACTGTGCAGAGCTCCAGAGTACTGACCTACATACATATGTACTTATGGAAATACAACTTGGGACTTGGTGGCTTGGGTTTTGGGGACGTTTTTGGAGCTTTTGGTGCTTTGTAAGCTGGCAAATGGCACTCCATTATTTGTGTTTTCAAAGGCAATTCTGACCATGCTTGAGAGCAAAAAAAGAAAGAAAGAAAGGAAAGGCCACTGGAAGAAAGGTGAAGTAGTCTAGGGAGTAAATGGCAATGGTATTAACCAGTAGTTTGGGATGCAGAGAAATAGATGGATTCGAGAACCACTTATGAGGCAAAAGAAACAGAAATTGGTGACATGCTTTGATATTTGATACAAGGTTGGTGAGACCAGGGGAAAAAAAGAGTAGAACAGCTGGAGACTGAGCTAATCAGTAACTTCATTCACTGCCTGGAGGTCGCCAGAGAGAGGGCCAGTCAGTGAAAAGCACTGTGCAGGTTAATTTAAGGTGCTGGGACGTTCAACTCATGATCTGCATTAGACAGTTTGCAATGTGTGACAGAAGCGGAGGGAGACCTCTGGACTGCATGCAGGTGCATATCCAGTACCAGTCAGGATAGCAATCACTGGGGCGCCTGGGTGGCTCAGTCAGTTAAATGTCTGCCTTTACTTCAGGTCATGATCCCAGGGTCCTGGGATCAAGCCCCACATCTAGCTCCCTGCTCAGCGGGAACCCTGCTGTGCCCTTTCCCTCTGCCCCTTCCCCCCATTCATGCTCTCTCTTTCTCTCTCTGTCTCAAATAAATAATCTAAAATAAATTTTTTAAAAAAGGAATAGCAATCATTCTTACAATCCAAGCAGTGGATTTTAAAAGAAACATTAAGTGTAGATCCAGATAAAGAGGAATATTTAGGAAATAAACAGGAGAAATAAAACTAGAAAAGGAGATTAAAAGAGTACCAACCCAAGAAATGGGGGGTGGTGATTTATAATTTTTGAGAGACGGACTGTGAGAAGAGGACAGAATTGATCTCAACTGCATGAAAAACAACCTCACCTATAAAAGAAATCCAAATTAAAACCATGGTGAGAAACTTCAACTGTCATACTGACAAAAATCCAAGAGCAACATGGTCTGTGATGAGACCAAAAGAACAGCCTTTCTCTTACATTGCTGTTGCTGGTACAAAATGGCATAACACTGGAGAGAGGAATTTGGCAGTATATAAAAGTAATTCATCATGCATATTTGCTCATTGTCAGAGCAATTCCTACTTCTAGGAATCTTTGCTATACTAGCAAAAATAAGAAAAAAAGACATCTGCAGAAGGGGATCCATTGAAAGGCTACCTTGAATAGCAAAAGACTGGAAAGGACCCAAGTGTCTATCACTGAGGCTGTGGACAAATCAAAAGTAACCTACGTCCACATAAGAGAGTATGATTCAAGTTTAGGAAGAAATGCAGAAGATTTCTTCATGCTATCCTAGAGTACTGTCTAGGATATATTTTTAAATGAGAAAAGCAGTGGAGGTGGAGAAAAATAAGTAGTATGTTGTTATTGTTTAATATTTATTTATATATTTTTAAAAGTTGGAAAGATAGACATATATACACAAAATTCTTCCTTACAGGGAGGAAACAAAGAGAATTTCTGAAAGAAACAAAAAGAATAGCCATACTTTTTAAAAGATACTTTATACTTTTGGTTTGGGAACCAGGTTCCTTGGGAACCAGGAACTATGTAAATATTTTCCATAGTTACAAAATAAAATACAATTTTAAAAGTGATACCTAAAAAATGTGAAGTGGGACACCTGGGTGGCCCAGTCAGCTGAGCATCCAACTCTTGATTCCTGCTCAGGTCATGACCTCAGGGTCATGGGATGGAGCCCCGCATCGGGCTTTCTGCTCAGCTGGGTGTCTGCTTGAGATTCTCTCTTTCTCCCTCTGTCTGTACCTCTGCCCCTCCTTCACCTCTAAAATAAATACATAAATAAATCTTTAAAAATGTGAAGTAACATGAAACAAATCAAGTGTGGTTCAGAGAATTAGTGCAGTTCAAATTGGAGGCAAACCATTACAGCATAGAATGAATCTGACTTTAAAATCCTTTGTTTTAACTATACATTCTAAAATGGATATATTTTAAGGATAGAAAGAACTACAAAAAAATTTAAATTACTTTTAGTACTCACGTTGCTGGTGGTGGTTTTGTAACTGTGCTTTGCTACTGTCGTGTTTGTATCATGAAATAAATGATTGCGTTCATGTCATCGAAGAGTGGTATCAGCTGGGTCGAAAGGAGACACGAGTTGCTTGAATTGAGTAAAACCTCTGCAGTAATCCCAGATTTAAGTTGGATGTACTAGTAAGAATTTGTGGCATATGTTACCTTTAAATCTAAAAAATACATATTCAACAAAAAGTTTCTAGAAACAATGACCAATGTAGTACTGACACTCCTCGTGTCCAGTTCGTGCTCTCTAAGTACCACTTTGACTAAAAGAAACCAGAGATCCTGGAAGAAATTAGTGATTCTAGATCTGGAGCAGGAAATGTGTAAAATGAGCCTGGAATATTTCATCATAATAGAAAACAAGGAAGCTACCAAACACTACATATTTCTTGTCAAAGGTCTTAGAAGCCAAATTGAATAAGCTTCTGCAGGCCAAGGACTATCAGTGAGGGTGAACTCATGAATCTGTCACCCTCATTGATATTCTTCAGCCTGCAGAAGCTTGTTCAGTTTGACTTCTAAGGACTTTGACAAGAAATATGTAGTGTTTGGTAGCTTCCTTGGTTTCCATGCATTCATAGTAAGACTGAAAAAAGAAAAAAATACTCATTAATCATCTTTGGAGAATGTGAGGAAAGCCAATCCAATATTTTGGAAACTAAGAACTAAAAGAAAGAATTAATTATTTGTTCTGAAAGAATCAAACATTTATTCTGTCTTTTCTATATGATTTCTACTTCAGGAGTACTAAATAATTGATGAGATATTTTTCTTTATAGAAATATTCCAGCTAATATACGAAGATAGGATTTGAATATGAGGTAGTGGTCATTGCTGATAAGATTGTAAAAATAGAAACAACTTTCACAGTAATGGAAGTATATAATACCACTTTTGAAGTAGGTTTTTCCCCCAAATCCAATTCAAATTCTGTCACTCCTCCAGATCTCTGAATTTAGAGGCAATAGGACGTAAAGATGCAAAAGATTAAATACTACAGGGACGGAATCCGCCAAATCAAGGCTGTGGAGAAATCTGTGGGACAGCTGATCTCATTTCTACAAAAATATCTCAATTTTTTTTCAAAAAAAAAAAAAGAAATAGAGGTAGAAACTACATATCAAACAAAATAGAACAAAACGGTACTTGAGACATTTCAACCAATCTTAAAATATGAATCCTATATAGATCCTAATGCAGACAAGCAACCCTTTAAAAAAAATTAGAAGGCTATTAGGAAATGGGAAAACTGACTAGATATTTGATATTTATGAATTATTATTTTTAGGTGTGATAATTTTATTTTGATCATTTTAAGTGGTTTGATGTTTTAGAGATGCACACTGAAATTTTACAGAAGAAATCACATGATGTCAGAGATTTGCTTCAAAATAATCAGTTGGGAAGGGGGAACGTGTAGACATAGATGAATTAGACTGTGCAAGTATTGTTAAATATAGAAGCTGGATATTGACATTATTCTGTTTCTGAATATGTTTGAAATTGGCTCCATTGGTTGAGCATCTGCCTTTGACTTGGGTCATGATCCCAGGGTCCTGGGATTGAGCCCCACGTAAGGCTCCCTGCTCAGTGGGGAGTCTGTTTCTCCCTCTCCCTCTGCCCCTCTGCCTGCTTATGCTCGCTCTTGCTCACTCTCAAATAAATGAATAAAAATCCTTTTTTTAAAAAAAGAAATTTTCTATAATATAAAACTAAAGAGAGAGAGAGAGAGAGGAGTGACCAAGAGTAACAAATACTTCATGGAAGTATCATCAGACTGAAATACGTCTGTTGTATTCAGTAGCCTCACTGTGCCATGGCAAGTACCGCTCCGCTGGTGTGTTGGGGACGGGACGCAAATAACAACAGGTTAAGGAATGAGTGGAAAGAAGGAAGCATTGAAGAAAAATCAAGAAGCTTGGCTATGAGGAAAGGAAGATGGGAGGTAGAGAGAGTTTTTCTTCTTCCTTTTTTTTTTTTTTTTTTTTTTTAAGATTGTAGAGACTCTTGAGGATGTTGGTGTTGTCTAATCGCCAGCAAAGACAAAGAGTAGAAACACTGCAAGTGTAAGGCAGGGAAAGGTTCCTGAAGATGTTCAGTGAATAGATGCATAGCACAGGCAGAGGGTAAAGTTTAAATCTGGGCAGTGACATGTCTTCTGTTGTAACAAAGGAACAGGGAAGAAAGGGGAGAAATACGTGCAGGTGTAGGTTTGGTGCATGAAAGCAGAGGGCAGTCTCATGTGACCTTGTTTTCTCGGTGAGGCAGGAGAGAAGCAGTCCTACCGAGAGGAAGGAGAGGTGCCAGAGGGAGAAGGTTGCAGCTAGCTGGTCATGGGAGAGAGAAGAGCTGATTAGGGAAGCAAAGATGGACTCTAGGGGTGTGGAGACCAGACTGTTCTAGGGGCCGTCGATCTTCAGGGCCAACTTCCTCCAAGAGAACTTAACAGCATAGATATGGACGTGGAGGAGGGGGAAATGTAGTTGGTTCTGGGGCCATAGCTTTCCCAGAATGTGGTGGCAGGATGATGGAACTTGGGATCAGAAA